CCNTCTGGCGACCAAATTTTTCCCGTTAGTCGCCAGCTGGCTCCCGAACGAAAAAGTTAATTTCGAGCCCTGTGGTACTGGATAAATTTGTCAAAATGCTAATTTTGTGTTATTTCACTTTCATGGTGTCTAACCAGTGGTCAAGCAAAGAATGCAGATATATGGCAGCCCTTATCGTGGAGTACTTCATTGTGTCAGGACTATATTTCGAGAGGAAGGAATCCGAGCTTTCTACCGCAGTTATACTACTCAACTCTCCATGAACATACCGTTTCAGTGCTTGCACTTCACTGTGTATGAATATGCGCGAGAAAAACTTAATCCCTCGCATGGATACGATCCAAAGACTCATGTGCTAGCAGGCGCTTCTGCTGGAGCAGTAGCCGCTGCTCTGACGACGCCACTGGATGTGGCAAAGACATTACTTAACACCCAAGAGAGGAGTGCTGTGGGTATTCTTGTTAGACCAGAGGGACATGCTGTCTATGTGAGCGGTATGCTCACAGCATTCCGCTCCATCTACAAACTACGGGGCTTCTCTGGCTATTTCCAAGGACTTCAAGCTAGAGTGCTTTATCAGATGCCATCTTGTGCCATCTGCTGGTCAGTCTATGAGTTTTTCAAACATTTCATGCACTTGACAGAGACAGAACTCTCAGCAATTTAAACAGAGAAAGAGAACTCTTGGCTGCGAAGCGTAATGCCAGGTTCATCTTCAACAGAAATGAACATCTGCAATACAAGGAAGCCATTTGAAGTGTTGCTTCGAGGTTAGTCCGTGGAATGTCGCAGTAGATTAGAAACAAGGAGAATTCTTGGTCGCAGAGTGCTCTGCCATTTTTCGAATCTTCTGACGAAGCCACAGCAGTATTGAAGTTACATGTACAAGACATCCAAGCAGGGAGAATGGAATTTCGGCTTCAGTGGTCATATGCCAGTTCCATTGTTCTACTGCTGTGGTTTGAAAATGTAGATGGAAGTCAAACAAGGTGGGAGAGAGGAATTTCGGCTGCAGAGTTTACAGACCAGTTCCTGTGTTCCTGTTAGTTTAATTGATAGCCTCGTAATGTTAAATTGTGCATTGCAGCATTATCACAATGTTTCTTTAGAATATGGTTTAAAGGAATACATGTTGTAGGTAGTTTAAATATTAATGCTGGATGATTGTTTCACTCTGCATTTGAAGGCTATGGACAGTGTCTTCAATCTAGAGTAATGATCTGAACCTAGAAGGAGTCTGTGACAGAGTCTGATCATTGTTACTAGATTGTTACAAAAGCAATACATGTCTTAGAAGCTGCAATTTTATGCCAGAGTTTCACACGGAGAGTATGTCTGTGTGTTTGTTTGCCATGACAAATCAAAGATAATGGTGATGGACAATGTAATCAGTATTGTTTAAATTTAATTTTGGGGTGGCTGCTCTTTGAGGAAGAAAATGCTGTTACAGTGTTTATCCGTTTCTTCTTCTCTTTTGAGGCACAGATCCTGTCGCAGAGTCGATGAAAGGACAGGACTAAAGACATTCTCTGCTAGGTTTCTGTGCCTTCTGTGGGCTACAAGCCCTTTTACCAGTTTAACCATTTAACTGGTTGATGACTTGTTGTAGTGTAGAATAATTATTACGGATCTATCCAGCCATAAGATGTTAACAGACAGTGTATAATGGCAAGATCAATTGTGGAGGGCTTTACCAGTTGAGCTCTGAAGAATATAGTTTCAAAAGATTGCATCCCTGCATAATTTGTGAAATAAAACTACCATAATTGATTGGAAGCTGTGCTCTGGTTTATAGGGTGTTGCTTGTTCTTATCTTGGATGATTTCACCCAGTGAAGTAGAGGATAGTACATGGCTGCCTGGAGATACAAAATTTCTCTTTAAGTGTTGAAACATATTTCATGAGTGAGCACACAGAACAGGTTAGATATTTTTCAACATGAAAAGAGAAATTTCCTATCTCCAAGCCATGAGGTAACTTTCTTTTTATTATAAAAAATAATCATAATAGATAACAATGTTTTTGGCAAGTTTCTAAAGATTTCTGACCACTTTCCAAAGATTTCCAAAGATTCTCTGGAAGTTGTCGGAATGCCAGACAAGCTTTTCCGAACATCTCTGAAAAATTGCGAAGATTGCCAAAGATTTTCAAAGATTTCCGAAGACGATCTAAAGATGTTTTGATCATACACCAACAAATTTAGGTACAGTTAGGGGACAAAAATGATATCACATGTGGATAAAAAATGATATCCTCACGTGTGGGATTTAATAAACTATTTGTATTGATTTGCTACCACTCAGTATACCACTAAATTTTATATATTAATTAAACAGTGTCTAATGGTCTGACGTGCTACAGTTTGTGGATTCAATCAATCATTTGCTTACCTGACAGGGAGGGGAAAGGGGAGGATAGTAATTTTTGAGGGGATCGAATTATTGATGTTGAAAGTGACCTTCAAGCACATCAAAGTACATTCCCTGTTACAGTCTACCTGAAGTGCTAACCACACAGCTTTAAAAAAAAGACTTGGAATGGACTCTGGTTTGCCTGCAAGTTGAGGTGCAACACTCAACCTTTGAAAGCAAAAAAATGACTGCAACGCTCAAAACTTCAGCAAAACCAGCGCTTGCTTGTTCCAAACTGCAAACTGTTAATAATACACACATAGACTGTTTTCAGCTAATCGGTCTCAGGTTAGTTGTGTCAGGAGAAAGTCAAATGGGCAAAGGTGGTGTGAATAAAGTTTACTTTTACTTTTAAACTTCTGTTTTAGCACTGCTTTCACCTGCTTGACTCTCTCCTGACGCAACGAACTGCCCCTGGGTCTCTGAGGATGATTCCAGCTTAGTCTTGGCTGGCAATCAGCTCAGTCTCATAATATGGGCAGTGACTGTGGTGTAACAGAAATCTTGGAAAAATCGGTGAAATTTTTTGGTAAATTTCGGAAAGTAAAATTTTGAGGTGATCCATCAGTTGGCCTTCAGTAATTTTAACAGCAGCATTATGACGTAGAACTTTTTAACACTTCTGCACTTGTGTAGCCAATAAATATTAGGCAATGGCTGATTTCCAGACATCTTACAAAAGGTGAGGTTTGGTTATCTCACAGCTCAGCCTTTCAACCCATTAAAAATAGCATGGCTCACAGACTTGAATCTTGTTGAAAAGCAGATCTTTACTTTTTGTAAGTTCCTTAATAATCTACATTGCATATCACTGGACTTTATTTTCACTAAAATTAAACTACAGTACCACTGTTGTGGAATATCAGTAAAATCATAAAAGTATTTTTAATTGTTTAAATTTCCTACATGTAAATGGAATTTGGCAATGAGTCTTGAAAAATGTACACACATTTAGTATCAGAGGCTTTGCCAACAGAAGGAAAGATAAATTAATTCAAGACACGTGAATCTCTTCACTTTCACCAGAAATCTATTTTATTATTTAATTGTATAAAAAAAGTTTGCCTAAATAGTTTTACTTCATGCAATCAGGCATGAATGAATGGCCTGATTATCTCAACATGCCTTAGACAACCAACTTCTCCCTTGAAGCAAAAGTATAAAATGTATGGAAAACAGTAACAAGATTGTGAATTCTGAGATACAGATATGAAGGGTCCAGTGTGCTTTTTTATCATGCTAGCTTGTTCAAAGGAGACCCCATTCTGTTTCCATTACAGACGTATAAATGTACATAAAGCTTATTTCTGTCCAAGTGTCCAGGATCACTTCTCTGCCACCCTGCTGCAGCCAACACCCTGAGTTATTTACAGAGCTGGTAATAAAAGACAGTGCACAAAGGCACAGCCTTTCATCGCCTTACAGTTCATCAATAGCTTCTTGATGTAATTAACAGTAACAAATTTTGTACAGTATTAACCACAACGACAATCTAGTTATCATCTGGAAGAACAGAGATAATCATTCCATATCTTGGCCAGCGATATTCCCTTGGAAGGGCAAGCTGAAACAAAAACAAAAATACAGAAAACGTGCAGTATGATAGACAATCTGGATCGTTATCACACAGGAAATTAATATTTAATACACTCCCTCAATATATGGAGTAACTAGAGGAATTCCCATAATCTCTCAAGTAATCATGCAGGGGTTTAATGCAAGATAACTGCATGGGTGTTACATGACGTACCTCATTTGGCTTTGTTAAATCATCCAAGTCTCTGTCAAGCCTTTGCAGAAAGTCATCCGTAATCAGCACCTGATGACAGCAAGTTAGTACATCTTTTATGCATGAATTATCAATTACAGTGTGCACCATGATTACAAATGACCATTGTAGGAATGCTATGCGTGCAAAGGGCCAAGTTGTTGTTATTTCCATGCCTAGGAGGCCAATTAACAAATCAAATGTGGTTTAGCATGGTCTACACTCTTATCGCCAATGATATGCATCATAACAATGGTCAAAATGTTATGGACTCATGAGGCGTAGCCAAGTGAGCTCATAACAAATTTGACCACTGTGATGACACGTATCGTCGATAAGAGTACAAAGCACACTAAACCACATTTCGATTTGTTTTTTACCACAATATCAACATCAAAGAAAATGTTTTTATAGAACCCGAGCTGAAAAAGGCATTGTGTGACACATTGACGTGAGCTGAGCATTGTCTGGACTCTTATCAACAATGGCAAATTAGCCAATCATTGTGAGATTAGCAGCAATTGTGGTAAAAATAATTTTTCAGAACTTACCTGGAGCCAAGCTCCAGAGGCTGCAAACCTGTGCTCATTGTCGGTTATGGAGCCTGTCACATTGGAAGACACAAAGGTGATGGCCATGTCATTAATTGAACTATGGAACGTAAAATGTCGTCCATGATTTAGGCGGCCTCTGCAGAATAGCAAGATTAAGAGGTACAATTTATGAAAAGCAAGCACAAGAAAAAAAATCGTTTAATTCGGAGTACATTTTTGTGTACACTGCAAGTGATATCAAGCTAGACTGGGGATTGCTTACCTCAAAGCAAGTGGTAGAAGCATAGCAGCCTCCAAACCAAACCGAAGATGAATCCCTCTTAGTGTTCTTGTCCTGGAAATCTCACTCACAACACTGCTACAAGCTGACCTTCTCTCGGGTGCCATGCCATCCACTGGTGACCTTTTTGGCGTAACTGAAGACCCTGCACGTATGGGCGGCAGGACAGGAAAGCGAGAAGGCAAGTCTCTTCCTGTCAGGGCATCGTGAGATGAACCAGGAGGGAATCCGGTGTGTTGGCTGGTAGAATTGTTCACAAAGTTCTCTTCCCACCAGCATTTAGCATTGACACCGCTCAGATTAGAACCTTCTTTCTTAATCCCAGTTGTAACTGTTTCCTGTTTTGTTAAAGTAACAGTGCTAGGAGCTTACAAGTTAAGAACTACATTCAGTGTAATATTTAATGCACATGCAATTATGTTAATCATGTCAATTAAAGTGTTTTAAAACTGACCAGGTCATCAGAGAAAAGTTAGAGGCAGGTCCAGTGAAAGAAGCATTTTTTAAATTCAAAATTGAGATGTCAGTTGAAACCAACTACTTACTGGTAAATACATGCAGTCTCACTGATTTCAGTGGTAGTGTCATAGCTCACATATTTTGGAACAGCACGTTTTTGTAGGATGTCTTCAAATACTACTAAGGTTAATGACTTTTCCTTCCTTTCCTTTTCCTTTTCCTTTGAATTCTCTTTCCAGGAAATGCAAAGTGATCATGAGTCAGAGAAGGCTGTTACAATCAAAACAAAATTACCTGAAGAGAGGGATCAATTTCAAAGATTGAGTCAATTCTATCCATGTCTGTTACAAGCCAAGGCCCACCAGCTCTGAACAGCAAGAAAACAACAACAAAAAAAATTCATACTATATTTGGGAAAGTCTGACTCAGTAAAAATACTAATAGTACAGTCACATTATTCTCTACTTGCACAAATCCCATAATACACCTCTTTTACATCCCCCCCCCCAAAAAAAAAAATTCATAGGCATTGTTTGATATCCCAGGAGAAATTGCAAACAATGATTATGCAAAATTTTGGGGGTAAAAGAGGTGTATTATGTTATTTGTGCAAGTAGAGAATTGAAAGAAATCTCAGTGTACTGTAGCTGGTCCCTGCATTAAAAGTCCCTTTTCAGAAAGTGTACCCCAGCCTATATAACCCTGGTTTATTGCCCCTTATTAACAGTTTCCCAGCTGAAACTACATGTATGTTCTCCCTCATTCTAAGCATTACCTGGCTGATAGTTTCATATATATGCACAGGTACATGTAAGTAGCACCTGTGTGATACTGAACAGTCCCTGCCCCACTGAGTGAATGCATAATCCCCTACATATCCCACCCCATGATTAGTAGGTTTGTTGTGCACTTACGGTGGTACTTTTCGTAAGAGGTCCAACACAGCAGGCCCATTCCAATGTTGAGCTGCCTGTAGTTCTTCTGAACAAATTCCAACTGCCTGTCACAAGAAAGATCACAACTGACGAATGCAATAGACCACTTTCAATATATTACAATTCAGCTTGGCAGCGAGGCTTAGAGGACACAAACAAAGGAAATTGAATGACCATGTTTATTCATTTCTTTTGGTTGTGTCCTCTAGCCCTCACTATCAAGTTGAATTTAATATATCGAAAGTGGTCTATTGAGGGCAGAAAACAAATTTTATAGCAGGCGGAAACAACAATCTGGAGTACAGAACCACATGTTTAATAATAGATAGAGTGTACTTATAATATATCTTAGTTAGCCCAATAGACTTAGAGGACTTAAAAATGCAAAATATTGTGTTTAGTCAGTTCATCATTACCTGAATGAAGCGAACAGATCCCAACGGGCTTGTTACGACTGGTAACCGAGGATCATCCACCATTAACATGTGCTGTATGTGAGATGGATTACAGTTATACTGCCCAGCGGCAGAAGGTGTCTGATCCAACGGCAGGTGCCAGGAAACATGGTCTCCACTGTACAGTGTGTTCCCTGTTGAAGAACAAAAACAAAATTAAGTTAACGTACCCCAAGCAATGGTTAAGAAAGAATCTTTTGTCTTAGTTTATGACACTTGAAGCTCTATTGTTGCTTGCCTGTCTGGAACACATAGCGGGCAAGGGACTGCAGTAATTCTGCTGGCCAGCTAGGCGGCGATGTCTCTCCAGCTTGCTTCTTCAGACGAAATGTGAGCTCAAATCCAAAGCCACTGGGACTGTCTCCCCTGGTGACTCTGTGGAAAACATCAAGAACAAGAAATAACTGATCCAGTCAGAGATCATACTGAAGAGAAGATACTACATGCAGAGTCTATAGTCGCATGAGTATGCATTCATGAATAAAACTTTAAATTATAATATATTATACATACTCATGAACACGTCCATCACCATGGAGATCTGACAGGCCTGAGGAGATATAGTGCCAGTGAGATGGAATACCATCCATTGGACTTCCTGGATTATTAAACATGCTGATGAAATCCAGTGGATCAGGACCACCAAGCCTGGAACAACAACATACTTAGTCTCAATTACCAAAAAAAATTCCTGCACAGCAAAAACAGCTGGAAAAAATTGTGCAAAGGGAGCTATAAGGAAAGAAATCAAGCAAGTGCTTTCTGCTATCCAGATTCTGTTGTTTGATTTAAAAAAATTCTTGCACAAGCTATTACTTACAAAACAAAATCATGCACAACCTAAAGGTGAGAGAAAAATTTCATGACCCAGAAAATTGCCCAACCCCCCTCAAAAAAAAAAAACAATGGTCCATCCCAATTGTATGTTGTCTACTAATAATAAATAGTAATAATAATGGCACTATTACAGCACATATTAACATGTGGATATGTTCATGTGCACTTTACAAAATTATTTATAGCAATTATTCTCAAATAAAATACAAATATAATACATAAACTTAATGAGTTTGAACACAAGTAAAATCCAGAAGGCAATGGTCTGCTAGCCAAATTCCTTTGTTGATCTATCTATTTTACACAAAACAGTAATTTTTCTGAGCATGGAGACAGGGACTATCTAATACTAAAAAAATATTGATAATACACAGCCGTACAACTGGGAACCACAAGCGCAAGTTCGAAGCATTAGTCAGGTACAAAGCCAAAAACATTTGAACGTTTGTCAATAATCAATCTTAAGTGAGTTTACTTCCAGTGTTCACAACATTGCCCTTTAATCTGCTTTAATATCAACCGAGTCATATTAAATCCCACTTTCTATATTTCTATTGTGTTTCTTGACAGCCAGAAATGAACAGGAAAAGATAAGCTTCCTCGATCGGTAAAAGCAGGTAAAAGAGGACTACATAGGTCCAGTAATCAGACACGATCAGGCGTATAGTACGTGATCAAATCACTGTGAAAAATACCGTGCGTATACATGAATCTAATTTTCGTTCGGTAAATACTCACCAATATTTGACTACTGCAGTAACCTGTAACGGGTTTGGCTGATCAGGGTAGACTTGTTTCAAAGTGGAGTAGATGGCTTCCAAGCCACGCGGAGTTGGAACCATCGGCGTCGGCATAGAAATTCCACAATATCCTGACATTGTTCGATCAAACTGGTTCGATCGTTTTAAGCCTGCTGCTTCAATAGATAGGCAAATATTCCCTTTGATCTTCAAATTTCGATTGTCCAGTGCCAAACATCAGCCACATGTGATCAGTTGAGCAGTAAATCAAAACACAGCTGTAGGAATTTCACGCGCGTTTGTGACAAAAAAAAAAAAAATCGGCGCTCGCGTACACGTCCGACAAGAGGTCGTTGCAAACAGCGAGGACAGCTGTTTCGTTCACCAAACACACTGGAAAGAAGGCACAGAAAAATCAAACTTCGTCAGCTTGAGGACTCCATACTCCCATTGAGTACATTAATGCGAAAGTGTTTGTAAAATTGAGTACCGTATAGTGTTTCTGTTTGCCAAACATGAATTTCAGAGGTGTAATAAATTTTGAAGAAGACTGGACCGAGATGAAGTTATCGAGCACAGACTGCTGGGAAATTTCCAAATCAATTTTCAAGATGGCGGCTAATCATGAACTGCCACACCGTGACTGAACCGTCTGACTGTGATTTGGGTATCCCCGAGTTTTGGGTACTCCGCACCCAAACCCCTTTTGTTTTGCGAATTGTGGATAAATTTCACTTGCATAGTCTGCGGCATGTTATGCTAACAGTGTTTTGGGCATCCCTTCTAGGGACACTAGGGATTTGGGGATACCCAAATCGCTGTAACCGGGACCCCGATTTGTGACACCGCCAGCTAAGCTCAGGGTCCCTAGAGCCCGAATTGTTAGGCTGTGAAGCCCGGAACCTCATCATTTCACTGCCTCGAGTCCTGATCTTTTTTTAGGACCGGAGTCCGGAGCCCTGAAAATATTTTTGTTGTCGAGCAAGGATGTGAAAATTCAATCCTTTTCAGTGCCCAGAAAAATTAAATCTAGAAAATGCAACAGAAAAGAGAAATATGCCTTCGTTTCTCCATTTGTCAAGGGTGAAACGCAATTAAAGCATTCAGATGGTGTTTCCTTTCTGCAGTTTGTTAGATTGTTTGCCCTTATTCAGCTTCTTAAGATGTGATACATGCAGCCGAAATAAAACACTAATACCCAGACCCCCAAACTGGATTAAAGGGTCAGCCACATATATATTGCACTCATTGATTTGTAAATAGTACTAAAACCTCAGTCACAATTTAAATTGAACTTGTTCTCAAGATCTCTCTCAAAAAAAATTGATCAGTTCCTGCTGATTCCTTTTTTAAAGAAACTCCGCGGTAAATCATCCACATCATGGTCTTGTGTGTCGCATAACACTTGCATGGAATAGGGATTATATTTGCGTTTCCTTCTGACTGGGTGCACTGTAATCGTACTTGTGCATTTTTGAATGCCAAATGCATTTTTGGCAAAATTCATCTTCAACCGGATTCGTCTGTCAGCACGAGTTTGTGAACACAATTAGTAAAGTATTTAATAAAGTAAAACTTTCTTTCGTCAGGGTGGCCCTTCAGCACCAGAGGGGCCCTGGTAATAAATGTTACAAAAAAACAAAAACAAAAACAAAAACAAAATTGCAAATATACATAGATAAAAAAAATCGAATTTAAGAAGCGAGAAGGAAAATACATGAATATGCTGACCTATGCTATAAGTGCTAAAAATGCTAAATAAGGTGAGATTTAATAAAAAGCTTAAGAAAGCGACTCCGCTCTTTGTTTTTTTGTTTTTGTTTTTGTTTTTGTTTTTTTGGTGGCGAATTAAAAAGCACTGAACCTGAAAATCAAGTACGCTTAGCGAGGCTAAGTTTTGGCTTTGGTTGGTGGAAGTCACTTTCGTTGCGAGAGCTGTAGCTATATGTACATTATAGTTCATATTAGTGCTCAGTTCCAACACCGGATACCTTACGTTTTCGGAAAACAAAAGGGATTAAGTATCTTCATGACATGAAACTTCGAGGTCAGCCCTAGCTAGGAAGTCGGGTACAAATAGTCGTCCAATCGATTCCACAAAGGAGAAATAATCGCGTGCTAGAAAACTGGTACAGTATTTCATTTCGCAATATATCAGAAAGGGTACGGGCGTCGTCATGATTTCGAACTCAAAATGGTTTCGGAATTTCGGAATGATTACGATATCTTTCTCAAAATTGTCCCGGAAATCTCGCAAATGAACGAAAATGACCTCGGAAGTGTCGATGAGACTTAAGAGCCACGTTGAGATTTTAGATCAAAACCATCTGAAAAATTGTGTGAAAAATCGCAGTAAGATCACAAACCTCGGAAAAACACAAGTTAAACGCTGCAAAGCTACAAGGGATTATCAGTCAACCTTGCTTTTAGATAGTCAACTTATATGCTCATAAATTTTGCAAAAAAAAAGACCGTTGCTGAAACTGAATCCTTTTTAAGGTGGTTCAAAACTTCATGCTACAACTGATCATGGTATAAGATATCATGGTATCATAGGTTCCCATAGCAACAGTATGACCTGCTAAATCGCCCTTGATTACAGCTTTTCTTTTTCAAAAACGGCATGAATCCTTTTCTCTTAAACGAGCACGGTGACCCCCACTTTTTATTTCATAATTTCAATGACAACAATATGCTCAATAACTGAGAAAAAATTTAGCAGAAATCTATAGCTTCCTTTTCTGGCAAATGAAATAAAATATAATATACAGAGCGAGATATAACGGGCCCAGCAGCGCATGTCCAAATTATGTTTCCTTTAAAGAGTAAAAAAAATGCAGGGTATTTGAAGACATTTTTCTGGGACGTAGATAAATAAAAAATCAAAGAAAGTCAAACTGTGTGTGATATCTGACACGCTGCATTGGAAAATAATCGAGCTTTTTTGTTGCGCACGGAGATTACCAAAAGTCACCTAAATAACCGTATTTGTCAGCACTGTGGCGTGAAAACAAGCACGGTGACCCCCTCTTTTTACTACGTTTTTAATATCTCCATGTCCTGTCACAACAGTATACCAAGTTTCATCGGAAATCTATGGCGGGTTCTTTTACTAGGGAATCACCTTAACTCGTTTTTAGTGCAATTCATGCGCGTTGTTTCTGTGTGACCCTGAATAAATGAAGTTTCTAGTAATAGCTTCTTCTAAAAAACGATATACCTAATTCAAGACTAGAATTCAAAAACCACACCTTATTTGACGGACTAAAATGGCTAAAATCGATAGTCTATTTCTGACCAAAACGGCTAAAAATATGCTCTTTGGTGCCGCACATGCCTATATAGGTATATTTATATAACGGAGTATCCTTTGGGAATTTAACGAACTGTCCTAGCTAAGCCCTCATCGATTAAAACAAACAATCGAAATTTGTAGCCCGTATCCGGCGTGACCACACGGTCCGACAAACAGTGTCCCCAGTTAATTAAAAAAAAAAAAAAAGCTAAATACTGTCTGACACTTAATTAAATAAAGCCATTTATTCATTCATTCAAATGAACCACTATAGCGTGCATCAGTGGAGAGCTGTCGAGTCAGGGTTAAATCATATTCTCACATGCGCATTTTTATGGTTTAGATTGTAAGGACAAGGCCAATTGCAGCTGGTGCAACTACAACAAACAGCTTGGCTATTGCAGTAATCCCACCATTAGCTGGGACTGCAAATTCACTTGTAACATCTGCAAGGGGAAATGAACATTGGCTTCGAGACAGGTAAAATGGTAAATTCTTTTAACAACTTTAAAAATTTTAGCCCTGGACTATTTTAGGGATGCCCTTAAGAGTATTTTTAAGAGGATTTGCTGCTCGTAAATAGTATGACCTGGTGTATGTACTTTTGCGAAATAAGGTGTACGCGTTATCAAAACTTTGAAATCGTCCAGCTATCCAAGATCAAACCAAAACAAAAGATTATTGAGATTTCTCAAGGCTTCCGGGAAAATATACATTTGCTATTAATCAAAAAGGCAAGTGTGCATACCCTCTAGTTCCATTTTGATATCTAATGTCGGTAACTTCTCAAAAAAATTACCATACCTTTTACTATCAGTCTAGCCTGCGTAGTTGGCGGTTTCGGAGGGTTTTTTCGGCGGGGTTCCCTGGCGCGGAAACCCACCGAAACCGCCAGCTATGCCGGTTAATACCTGCCTAGATTAGAACTCTGCTATTTGCGGGTGATATCGTGCACAGTCATGTTATCAGACTGAGAAATGCACGCTTGGACTCCAACCCGGGCCACATCGGTAGAAGGCGAGCGACTCTCCACACCAGTGCGACAGCCTTGCTTCCCTAAAGGGGATATTGTGTCCATTATACGATATCTTTTTCTAACCGACGTCAAAACAGATTTATGGTAATATTGTGTATCTTTTTTGGCAATTCTTGCTTTTCAGATATCTGGCAAGTGTACGCTGATCAGGGAGTAGAATGTAGTCATGGCAGACAACAGGAAAATTAAACACAGGAATTGGAGTAATTTTGAAATAAAAGGGGCAAAAATAGCTGTTAAACATGTTGTGGTTCATTTGCTCCCTGAGGGAAGTGAAAAGCCTGTTTAAAAGAACGAGGAATTTAGAAAATAATATATCATATTCGTCGAGAGCTGGTCGAGAGGATGATTCGTCAGCAATCCACGTTTTTTCGCTACTAAATGAAAAGTTCCGATATAACTAAAAAGGGCAGTGTCCATGTCTTTGACTCCACCAATAGGCCACTTGCAAGTTACCTTGTGCCTCTATTTCAAAATTAAACGAGTACTTGTGCAAAAACTTTCATACAAAGAGGAGTTTGATTTGCATGAAAATGAACGAGTAGGTGGAAGCATTTCCATATGGATGGTATTACATGAAGACTCGTTTTCACACAGAGACAAAAGACAACTCGGAATTGGCCTATTGTCACGGCTTGGGTACATGATTCCAAATTTAAAGAAAAAACACTCAACTACAACCCTACCCACCTTAGCACACTGATCTTCCGTGCACCTTTTGGAAAGTTAGAAAAATTATGCACGCATGGAAGCGGAAATGTAGTATTGCGCACGTATGCAAAAAGCGCGCTAATGTTTTTCATTTCGTTAAAGGTTATAGACTGATAGCCGAAAGCCTATATTTTTAATCTTTTTTAACCAGAGAACGTTTTTTCACTTTAATATGTCTTATCCTTGGTTACAGCTCGATTTTTACAAGAAAAAAGTAGTCCGCTTTCGGGTAATTTCGACCAGTACGCGAACTTGCTTGCGGCTCACAAGTTCTCACCACTTCGGGAAAAAAAAATAGACAAATGGACGGAAAACTGAAACACGACTGCAGACTTTCTAGGACGTACATGTCTGACAAGAGGTCGTTGTCAACAACGAGGACAGCTGCCTCGTAGTCCATACTCATGTGTTAAAATACTGTGCGGTGTAATAAATTTTGCAGCCCACAAGTTCTCACCACTTCGCGGAAAAAAAATTAGACAAATGGACGGAAAACTGAAACACGACTGCAGACTTTCTAGGACGTACATGTCTGACAAGAGGTCGTTGTCAACCGCGAGGACAGCTGCTTCGTAGTCCGTACTCAATTGTTAAAATACTGTGAGGTGTAATAAATTTTGAAGAAGACTGGACCGAGATGAAGTTAGCGAGCACAGACTGCTGGGAAATTTCCTCCTCTATTTTCAAGATGGCGGCCGAGCCGCCAGCCAAGCTCGATAACGAGTCAAGACGTTTAGTCAGCCAGATAGTTGAACATGTGAAGTCCCAAGGTATATTCGATCAATTCAGGCGTGACTGTATTGATGAACTGGAACAGAAGGTTGGTTATTCAGTTAAAATAAATTCGTAAACTGTATTGAGATCTTAGACTAAAAATTATCGACTGAGGCCTTGAAGACTCCTTGAGCTACCGGCGTCGACAAAACCTGGATCGGATCGGACCGGATCACGGATCGGATCACGGACCGGATCACGGATCGGATCACGGATCGGATCACGGATCGGATC